ACCTGTTCAACCCCACAACCATTGTCTTGTGGGGTTCCTCAGGGCTCAATATTGTCTCCCATGTTGTTTAACATCTACATGAAGCCGCTGGGGGAGATCATCCGGAGTTTCGGGGTACGGTGTCATCTGTATGCGGATGATGTCCAACTCTGTCACTCCTTTCCACCTGCTACTAAGGAGGCTGTCCAGGTCCTGAACCGGTGCTTGGCCGCTGTGACGGTCTGGATGAGGGTGAACAAATTGAAATTGAATCCAGACAAGACAGAGGTACTCCTGGTCAGTCGCAAGGCCGAACAGGGCATAGGGTTACAGCCTGTGTTGGATGGGGCCGCACTCCCCCTGAAGATGCAGGTTCGCAGCTTGGGTGTGACCCTGGACTCATCGCTGAGCCTGGAACCCAGGTTTCGGCGGTGACCAGGGGAGCATTTGCACAGCTAAAGCTTGTGCGCCAGCTGCGCCCGTACCTTGGGAAGTCTGACTTGGCCACGGTAGTCCACGCTCTGGTTACATCCCGTTTAGACTACTGCAACGCTCTCTACTTGGGGTTGCCTTTGAAGACAGCTCGGAAGCTCCAACTAGTCCAACGCTCGGCAGCCATGATTTTAACAGGAGCGGAGCGCAGGGAGCATACAACCCCCCTGTTGCGCCAACTCCACTGGCTACCGATCTGCTACCGGGCTGAATTCAAAGTGCTGGCGTTGGCCTTTAAAGCCCTAAACGGTTCCAGCCCAAGCTACCTATCCGACCGCATCTCTGCCTATGAACCCACCAGGACTTTGAGATCTTCCGGGGAGACCCTGCTCTCGATCCCGCCTGCTTCTCAAGCTCGGCTGGCGGGGACGAGAGATAGGGCCTTCTCGGTGGTGGCTCCTCGGCTGTGGAACGCCCTTTCTACGGACATTAGACTAGCACCATCTCTAATGGTATTCCGCAAAAAGGTGAAGACCTGGATGTTTGTGCAGGCGTTTGAGTAATTTAGTGCAATCTGGTAATGGAACATAGGAATGGAACAATGGACGACGAACCTGGACTACGCTTGCATGATGAGAAGATTGGGTACGGTTGTTTTTTGTAATAATTGTGCATTGTAACTGCTTATTGGTAATTTATGGATAATGTGTTAAGTCAATTGTTATATGTTGTATGGAACCACTGCTGTTTCTACTGTTTTTACTGTTTGTGAACCGCCGTGAGTCGCCTTCGGGCTTGAGATACAGCGGTATATAAGCAAAGTAAATAAATAAATAAATAAATGTCATCTCTAGGCATTTTCTAGATCCTCTGGCATAGCTCTATAGAACTGGAAGTCCTTCATTTCAGTGGGGTTTGCTGGTTACAGCTTTGCATATCCACACCATATCTCTGGATACAGGGTCTATACAAAAGTAGGGCTATGAAACAAGTCGCGAGACCATCCTTGCCCTGAAGGAAGAGGGTGGAGAAATATTTGTGGGAAGTGACTCCTTCTTTCATGACTGTGGACCTGTTTCTGTAATCTCTTAAAACTGAGAAGTAATCCTGTGCCTAAAATATCTTCAGTCTCCTCTGTGACAGTTTCCTCGTCATTCATTTTTCCTTCTTTTAAAATCATTTTTATTCGATTTTTCAATTTCAAAAGTAACTTAAATCCAAATAAAGATAAGAAGCTCAGACACTAAAATAGAAAACAAAAACTAAAGATTACTTGTGGGGAAAAAATTAAAACACCATGAATCAGCAGGAAGCCAGGCAACTTGGCAATTCCTGTTGCAATTCTAGTGTGTCCAATGCTTTTTCAGACTTATCCCTTCCCATTTGAGGGATGATTGGGTATCTCTGCTTGTTCAAAAGTTGATCTGTGGTTAACTATAGATCCACCAAAACCAAAGGTATGAATGTACAGTCATCCCTCTTATCCATGGGCTCTGTATCCACTGATTAAATCATTCACAGATCAAAAAAAAACTTCCAAACAACATTTTTTTTATTTTTGCTCTTTAGTGAGTTTTTTGCTGATGTATAGGCATATCCTGTTATAGCTCTGCCCCCTACCATTTCATAAATTCTCAGGCTCTCTCCCATTTTCATTTGATTTTTATACTATTTTATAGTAAGTGATGCTATTTTACTATCCTATCATTATATAATGGGACTTGAGCATCCACAGATTTTGGTATCTATGGGAGGAGGGCATGTGTTTCATGCCCTCCTCCCAGTGGATTCAAACCCCCAAGGATACTGAGGACCCACAATATACCGTACAGGTATATCAATTTGTAGTTTAAGGACTTCCAACTTCACTTCTCTAGTCAATGTACTTGAAACACAGTGTTGGAGCCTAATGCCTTACCAAGCTCCAAATAATTTTATTTATTTATTTATTTATGGTGTTTATACCCCACCCTTCTTACCCCAAAGGGGATTCAGAGCAGCTTACAGAACATACATATGGCAAACTTTCAATGCTGTTTAATAAGGACAGACAACACAAACAGAGGTCAAGGCAGTTTTTCCCATTTTATTTCTGGCATCTTGGAGACTGTGCTCGACTCTGGCCACCGGGGTGTGCTGTTGCTCCGTCTTCTATGCCGAGAGCTTTCCTCCAATAGATGTCTTTAAGGGTGCCTTTATTACCTCCCTGATAAATGCATTACCTATTTATCTAGTCGCATTTCTACTTTCAACCTGGTAGGTGGGCAGGTGAACTGGGACTAATGGTGGGTTCTCACCCCAACCCGGGCTCAAGCTACTGACCTTTCGATTTTTCTGCAGCACAGCGGTTTAGCCTGCTGTGCTAAGACCAGCCCCTTTTGAGTGATTACAACTTGTAGTTTTGTTTTGTTTGTTTTTACATTAGAAAATTCTTTATAGGAATTTGTTCATTCTTTCCTGCAGCATCTTTGCAGAGTGATTGGTGATGTCAAAAGCGATATCAATTTTTGCCAAAGTTGCAAAGTCCTGTGAAACTTTTAAGAATTAACAATTTAATAATAATAATAACAACACTTTATTTATATTCTGCCCTATCTACCCAAGGGGACTCAGGGTGGATAACAGTACACATACACGGCAAACATTCAATGCCGTTTTGGATAGACAATACAGATAGACAGAACAGAAAGGAGATATGTCAACCTCCAGATTTTTGGTGCCTCGGAAGATTAATATCCATTAGAGTCCTGGAACCTCCACTTAAAGGTAATTTCATAGAGTATTATATAGAAATTCTGGGATATGTAAACCACATATGGATATTAAAACTTCTGATTACATAGAATTTGGGGTTTATCTAATACAGTGGTTCTCAACCTGTGGGTCCCCAAATGTTTTGGCCTTTAACTCCCAGAAATCCTAACAGCTGGTAAACCAGTAGGGATTTCTGGGAGCTGTAGGCCAAAACCCCTGGGGGAATCCACAGATTGAGAACCACTGATCTAATACAAACATTTGGGAGTGGGACTTTAGATAAGGAGGCCCATGGTGAATTAAATGCAGAAGAAACTACTTTATGCATTCTTTACAAAAGCGAACTAGCCAATTCCTACAGAAAATAATAAATAGTTACAGATTTGACATTAAAAATTACTGGATGTAGAAATCATAATGATGATATTTCAGCCTCCCAGGACACTGACTTTACTGTGGCCATTGTGGAGCAGTGAAACTCCAGAGAGAGTTGTAGGAGCGATAGAAACTGTGGTGCAGCTGGCTGGGAGTCAGCCATATTTAGATCTTTACTGATCGAAAAGGCCATGAGTTCGAAGCCAGCCCGGGTCGGAGTGAGCTTCTGACCATTGTGTAGCTTGCTGTCGACCTTTGTAGCCCAAAAGACAGTTGCATCTGTCAAGTAGGAAATTTAGGTAACGCTTATGCAGGAAGGCTAATTTAACTAATTTACGACGCCATAAAATCTCCCGCAAACAAGCAAAAGAACGAGGAAGTACTCCATCAGTGTCACAAATGTACGGTGAAGCGACAGCTCCCCTGGTGGCCATACCCTCATGAAGCTGGAATGTTAAATAGCCTCTGTGTTTCTGTCTATATATGTTGTGTGTCTATGGCATTGAATGTTTGCCATGTATATGTACATTGTAATCTGGCCTGAGTCCCCTGCAGGGTGAGAAGGGTGGGATATAAATACTGTAAATAAATAAAATAAATAAATACTGAGTTAAACATTTATTAAGAAATTTCAACTGGTTACTAATGAAATGAAGTAAGATAATGTATTTTTACTATACCACAAATGTTAACTACCCTTGAAATGGGCAGAGACAGACAGATGAATATACATACATTTATAAAAAGATCAACATTGAAAGTACCATATTTATTTGATTCTCCATAAAAACATCTTTAAGAGTGCGTCTTAGAATTGCACGTGCATCTAACTATTGTATCTATCTATATAAAGAGAGAGGGAGCGCTTTTTACCTGTTAGTGGTACTGAAATTTGTGTGCATCTTACATTTGATGGCATCTTACAGTCAAAGAAATACAGTAGTTTCAGATCTATTTTCAGTTTCATTTGAGGCATTTTATTTCTCCGATTTGAGTCCTTTGCTTCATTTCTGCCTAAAACTTGATACATTCTGGAAAGTTACAGGAACTGAAAAACACAACTTCTTTGGTAAGATTTTTTTTTTACTGCAGGTACCAGATCATATCTGATCTTGCAAGCTAAGGAGGGTTAAGCCTAGTTACTACTTCTATGGGAGACTCTGAGTGAATTCCAGGTACTGTAGGCTGTATTACAGTGAAAGGACCTACCGTAGTAATACTATTTCTTGTCTGAGAAAAAGCTGTGAGATTCATCGGGTCACTGTAAGTCGACAGGCAATGGAAAGGCACACGCTTACACACAACAACAGCAACAGATTGTATGTAAAACCTAAGGGGTCTTGTAGCATAAGTCTGTTCTTAAGAATACATTTTAAGGGGTATTCATTATTTGACACTGTTTGTATGAGTAACATGGGACCTAAGATGGTTATTTATAACGTATGCCGTTTTCATTCCAGTTTATAATGAGATTGAAAGAATCACAAGGATGTATTCACACAGAATAAACCAGGAAAATGCATTTCCCAGTTCTGGTTGCAAAGGTGTAAAGGAGGTGAAGAATTAAGAAATTAAACACAGCAGCCAAGTGGAAGTTCGTTTCATAGAATCCTAGAGTTGGAAGAGACTTCGTGGGCCATCCAGTCCAGCCCCCTGCCAAAAAGCAGGAAAATCGTATTCAAAGCACCCCCAACAGATTACCATCCAGCCTCTGCTTAAAAGCCTCCAAAGAAGGAGTCTCCACCATACCGCAGGGCAGAGAGTTCCACTGCTAAACAGCTCTCACAGTCAGGAAGTTCTTCCTCATGTTCAGGGGGAATCTCCTTTCCTGTAGTTTGAAGCCATTGTTTGAAACACTAATTTCCAGGAACAAACAGAGAAACACAAGAGTACAAGCACAAAAACTTATGTTATATATTTGCTGTACTTTTCTTTCTCATGAAAATACTTTTTAAGAGTGCGGAAGTTTTGGGATTTCTCCTTGGATGACAACAGCTGCAACTAGTTCTCCCACGCTCTTGACCTCCCACATTACACTGAACCAGAGCTTTCATGGACTTGGGTTTGTGACTTTGCTAGATGACCTTTGGTGTCCACACAGGTTTGATTACAACATGGAAACTATCCAGCTATCAAATTGGACCTCCCGGTGAAATTTATTCTTTTATTTTTATTTACAGCATTTATATACCACTTTTCTCACCAAACAAATCGTCTGTCTTAGATGGTGCCTTTTTGAAGCACCCATGTTTTCTATCATGACATTTATGCAGAAGGCTTATGATAGTAGTGCAGTACTTTCAAAAAGAGTATTCTTTTGAAGTATTTATTTTTTATACTTCTACAAAAAACCTATCAGTGGCAGAAATTCAGATAAATATTCCACCTGGGAGAAGAGCTTTTTCATGGAGGTCTCTTCAGAACCTAGTTTCCATGGGCTCAGGAAGCAGTACCCGTGTCCTGAATGTGGGAAGAATTTCAACCGCAGTTCACATCTCGCCCGCCATAGGCGGCTGCACACTGGAGAGAAACCCTACAAATGTCCTGAGTGTGGGAAAAACTTCCGACAAAGCACAGATGTCACTACACATCGCAGAATCCATACAGGGGAGAGACCCTATCAATGTAGCGAATGCTCAAAAACCTTTCGCTATAGGACCGGCCTTGTGAAGCATTTTCGGTGCCACGAGAAAGGGATACCCGAAAGCTGCCAGAAATGTGGGGGGAAAGCCAGCTGCAAGTCTGTTTCGAAGGCTCAGTGTGTCATTGAAGAGCCCTGCATTTGTGCTGACTGCGGGAAACCTGTGGAGGGCAACAATCTTCATGTACATGTCACTACGGAAGGACCATACGAATGCCCTGAATGCGGGAAATGCTTCAATTGCAGCTTTCAACTTATTCGGCACAGAAGACTGCAAAATAGTGAGGAATTTTACATTACTTATTGAACAGAAAGAAGAATTTCTTTAGCTGTTGTGTTTAAGGCTTATTCTCATAAACAATTTATCCAGGCCTAGCATATATTAAATGAATCAAAGGCAAAACCTTACTATAATAGAGTAGGAAGAGACCCCAAGGGCCATCCCATCCAACCCCATTCTGTTGTGCTGGAAGGCACAATCAAAGCACTCCAGATAAGCATCCAGCCTCTGTTTAAAAACCTCCCGAGAAAGAGATTCCACCATATTCTGAGGCAAAGTATTCGCCCGTTGAACAGCTCTAATAGTCAGGAAGGGATACTCTGCCTCAGAATATGGTGGAGTCATACCAATCTCCCTTACCTAAATAACAACTTCTTTGGACAGCCACTCCCAGAATCCTCCAGCTGACGTAGCCACTGGCCATATTAGCTGGGGGATTCTGGGAGCTACAGTCAAATATGTATAATATATTTCCAAGTTATGGTTAGGTATGAGTCATGGGTGTTTTTTGGTTGAGAGACATATTAACTGGGTTGCTATGAGTTTTCCAGGCTGTATAGCCATGTTCCAGAAGCATTCTGTCCTGACGTTTGGCCAACATCTATGGCAGGCATCTTCAGACGTTGCGAGGTCTGTTGGAAACTAGGAAAGTGGAGTTTATATATCTCTGGAAGGTCCATGATGGGAGAAATAAAGAATAACACTCTGAAACCAGGGGAATTCCAGACATGAAACAATCAGGGCCAGATAACACCTCCCAACAAAGGATGCCCTCAGGCAGGAATCAGCCAGGCCTTGAAGCTGCAAGGCTTTGCAATGCTAATCATGGTGATTATTTGCAGCATTCACACTTGCCTCCAGCAGTCAAGAGTTTTTTTCTCCCACCCTGGATCTTCCACAGACATATAAACCTCTCTTGCTTAGTTTCCATATACCTCACAAGGGCAAGATGGAAGGATAGTATCCTTGAAGTGGTTGGCTTGACTTTGAAGGAGATGGGGGTGACCATGGCCAACTGGGAGCTCTGGCATGGCTTGGTCCATGAGGTCACAAAGAATCAAGTGACTGAACGAATAAACAACATACTTCACAACCTCTGAGAATGCCTGCCATAGATCTGGGTGAAACGTCAGGAGAGAATGCTTCTGGAACATGGCTTTATAGCCCAGAAAACTCACAGCATCCCAGTGATTCTGGCCATGAAAGCCTTGGACAACAAATTGTATTAACCTTAGCTGACCTTGAATCCTCATCCCAATTGTTCAGTTTACAGCATAGGAAAAAGTTTTCTGTGGCCATATATATTTGTTCCCCAATGTATAGATAGTTTTTTCCATAAACTTCATAGTTGTGGAACAGAACAGGACAAAGCAATATCTTGGAACAGGACTGCTGGAAATGGACTTAGCTTGGCTTCATAAATTTAGGTGCGTAATGGTGTATGTTTGGCCCATGAGTATCACATACTGGGGAAGGGCTACTTAGAGGAAATTGATCTGAAAAATAGAAAATGTGAAAAACCAGTCCTTGACTGGAAGATAAGTGGAGCAGAGTTGAACAAAGATGCAGCCAATCTTGAGTTACTCATCTCACCTTGGTCCTTCTCTCCTTTTCCCTCTCCCCACACCTACACTTTGAAACAGGATTTATTATTCCTAATCCCAACATACTCTACAGCCCAAATCCTTTGTGCCCTGATCATCACAGTTTGGAAGAAACAGCATGTTCAGGAAGCATCTGTGCAGGTGAGAGACCAACCATTGCCGGGTCTGGGAGAAAAGCAAGGATGGAACGAGGAGGGAACTGGAGCAAGAAGAGGGTGGTTGGATACAGAAGGCAGAAAGTTTTCTCTGTTTGGTTTCTAGTGGAAAAGCAGGCTATTAAAGGCACTCCAAAAGTTTGTGTTTATCTTAAAAACTAAGGGGTGATTGGAATCTTTCACTGGATTGTATTTTCTCCTTGTTTCTCCCCTGTCAATGATCAACCATACACTCCTATTTTTAAAGAGAACTCCCAATATTTTAATTTACATGCATCCAGCATGGTGTTGCGGTTTGAGTGTTGGGCTGCAACTCTGTGGAGGCCATAATTTTAATCCCACTTGGCATTCTAATCTTACTTGGGCAAGTCACATTCTCTCCACCTCAGAGGAAAATGCACCCCCCCCCCTGAAGAAATATGGCCTCCTGACAGATTAGTCTTACTAGTAGTAGTATTGGGATAGTATTTATATCCCGTTTCTTCTCTCCAGACTCAAAGTAACCTATGTTGGAAAAACTTGGAAGAAACACAACAAATGCACATTCTAGGATGTTGGGTGCAGAGTTTGGATGGTGTACCTTTTACATACTATAGTTTTTCCCTTTGTGAAATCAAAATATGTTTAGCCCAAAATAGAGAACTTCCTTTTAATGAGATACTACCTTTTGTTTAAGTGTATATCCTACTTTTCTTCCAGCATGCTCAACATTCATGGTATGCTTCCATCAAATTGTATCCTAAGGACAACATCCCTATGTAGAAGATTAGACTGGAAGTGTGTCACTGTCACTCATTACATTTTATGATTCAGGGGACATCAAAACCTAGATGTTCTCAATTACTGTCCAAAACTTTAACCATAATGCTATAAATTTCATGGATATGCTCCATATAGCATATGAAGAACATGCTAGTTATAAATATGGCACCCTTATGTGTGGGATTTTTCCTGCAATTTCATTTACCTGCATCCATGAAAAATATTCTCTTGGCAGTTTCTAGGTCCTGCAGTACAATTCTATGGTATACTTCCACCAGATATTGACTCTATTATGGTTCACTAGAAATGCCTAGAGGATTTGATGTTATCTGCGGCTTCATGTTTCCATGATAATTCCAACAATGTACCCCCCCCCCCCCCAATGGATATAGGACAGGCATGTGCAAACTTCAGCCCTCCCGGTGTTTTGGACTTCAATTCACACAATTCCTAACAGCCTAGCAGAGTTGAAGTACAAAACACCAGGAGGACCAAAGTTTGCCCATGCCGGATATAGGAGTTGTATTAGCACCAAAAGTCTCAACGCAGGAGACAGAATTGCTTACTTCCCCCAGAGTGTTACTTTTTTGGTGATTGGTTGTGCTGGCTAGAGTACATTAGGTGTTTCATTCCTCAAAATTAACTTTTCCAAGCTTTGTCATAAAAACACATGGTCTCCACAACTGTGCCCATTCATGATTGTCATATACTTAGTTAAACGTGTCATCACTTGGATCACTCCATCTGCTTCTTTCTCTGTTGTCTTATGATGACATCCTGGCTCAGATCACAAAGAGGAGGGGAATCTGGGCCCTGCAAAATCGTGCCAGACATTATCCAGAAGACTCTATGGCCTTAATTCCCAAAGCTCCAGTTGGAAGCAGCCGGGAATGACTGGAGACGCGGGAGTCAAGGCACCCTTCCACCCGCAGAAAAGGCACGTGTGCTTCGTATGTGGGATGGCTTTCCATTGTGAGCCCTACCTCATCTCGCACGAACTGACCCACGTGCAAGAGAAGTCCTTTAAGTGTGGCACCTGTCAGAAGAGCTTCCGGGAGAAGGAAGACCTGCAGAACCACCAGAAGATTCACTCTGAAGAGAAACGCTTCAAATGTCTTGATTGTGGCAAAAGTTTTCGCCAACAGGTGACTTTCATTAAACACCTGCGGCTGCATCCCAGCAAGACAACTGCCAAGCCGAGCCGTGTGTTTCTTGCGGTCCTACCGCAACTCCAGCTGGGTGCCGAAGGGAGCATCGGAGATGTAACTGAGCTTCCGAAAACACTTAGCTGTGATTTACCACAAATAGTAAGTAATTTAGGCTTTTTGGTTGACTCAGGATAGAACTGAAAGGAATTAGCCAGTGCTTGGGGAAACCTTAAAAAATCCAGGGAAAGACAGCACTGGCCCTGATGTTCAGCAGAAGGAGGCAAACAGCTGAGGTGACAAGAAGAGGTTCCAAGTTATTTTGTTTGTAGTTCTTGTATTTTATTGCTAGCACAAGGCAAGGGGGAAAACATGGGGTTTGATTTTTTTTTGTGTGTCAAGAGTGACTTGAGAAATTGCAAGTCGCTTCTGGTGTGAGCGAATTGGCCATCTGCAAGGACGTTGCCCAGTGGATGCCTGGAAGTTTGATGTTTTACCATCCTTGTGGGAGGCTTCCCTCATGTCCCCGCATGGGGAGCTGGAGCTGACAGAGGAGCTCAACCTGATCTCTCTTGATTTGAACCACTGACCTATTGGTCAGCAGTCCTGCCAGCATAAGGATTTAGCCCACTGCGCCACCGGGGGCTCCTATGGGATTTGATGATTCATGTGAGTACTTTCAGACCCAGTTCCTGCTCACTTGGATAAGGAACACACTATTTGCTGTTCCAATTCAGACAGCACAGTGTGCATTTTCACTGTAGAAGTAATGCAGTTTGGCACCACTTTAACTGCTCTGGTTCAGTGCTGTGGAGTTATGGGATTTGGCGTTTTACAAGGTTTTTCCCTCCATTGGTGTCTGCAGTGGGAAAGGACACATAAGAAGTAGATGACTGTCTGTAGCCCATGTATTGTGTGTTTCCAGCCCTGACTTTAGACAAATTTGTATAGAAGCAGACACAATTTTATGCAGCCATGCATGGTAGAAAATAAGAATATTTCCTTCCTAAAGTAGTTGAGTATCTTCCAAGGAGCCAAGATTATTGGATCACCTGGATCATTGCTAATTGGAGGGTAGTATTTGTTAAATGTATTGTAATAGTATTTTAACAGAGTTTTGTTTTATCTCTCTGTTTTAATCCTGTTGTATCCTGCCTCAAGGTAAAAGGAGAGGCGGGTAAATCATCATCATCATTTTCTTCATTAGTATTATTATTAAGCTACATATTCTTGATTCTTGTTGCATCTGTGCTATAAATGTCTTTTTGCTTCATAGGATACTAATTGTCTTTGGGCCTTGGAAATGACAGAAGACGGAAAATTATATTGGGCAAAAATTGATAAAAAGTGAGGCCAGTGCTTTACAAAGGTATACACCTCTTTTCCCCCTTCTCTCTTTAGCTGAACTCCCAACTTCATAGAGGGAACCACTCAGGAAGGGTTTCCCCTTTTGAGGTCTCAGCCTTATCTCAGACTTCAGAATAGGATTTCTTCCTTTACCATTGGCCATTGGGATCTTGATTTCAGAGTCATAGGATTATTCTGAAAAGGAATCTATAAAGCCAAAAATGTGTAGAAATCCACTTGGTTATGCCATAATTCTATACAACAGAAGTGAGAAACATATGGTCCTTTCCAATCAGTATGTAGACAAGAATGATGAGGACAGAAGTCTTTACTCACAGAGCCACTCTATCTCTTTTTTCCATACCCTGGGCATCCCAGACACCTGAAACTTGCTCCGCCCTTCACCTACACCTTCCTGGTGAGGCGCCCCTTCACCTCACCATCGGGGCTGCATTAAGTCCACGAATCCTGATGAATGGATTTTCTTCTACCGTACATGTACAGCGTCGCCCACAATGCTTTCATACAGTCGCTGCATACAGGAGGGACATGGCCACTGCCTTTTTTAAGATCCCCCACAATATGCAGCAACCACAGATTCTCCAATCCGGATTGGAAGGTTCAGCTCCCGGTGTCTAAGACTACTCCCAAAGCATAAGAATATTCCTGTGTATAAGACGACCCCCCGCGTATAAGACGACCCCTGACTTTTGAGAAGATTTTCTAGTAGTCTTATACGCCAGAAAATACGGTACCTGTTCAAAAGTATGTCTTTGAATTCACTGAGATTTATTCTTAAGTGACTGTGTAGAGGACTGAAACAATAGTAGTTTCATTTCATCAAAGTGCACAGATATAGTAAATCTAAAGGAAAGACATTTTATATTTTTATTTTGAACCTGAGCAGGGAAGTAAATCTCAATAAAGATTTTAGTGATTATTGACATTTCATATTTGGCAACTGCATGCATGTTTACAAAACTTAGCGTTAATACTGTTTCCTACAAATTGCAATTTCAGTAATTTGTGGCTATTCTTCTGATGCTACAGGTGACAAAAGTGGTGCAAGTTTTAGAAGAAAGAAGGCTCTTGAATTTCAGGAAAAAATAGGAACAAGATTGAAGAGATTCCAAGAAATCATGTCAAAGGAGGAAAAATGCAAAAGAGAAATGTGTAGGAGATGGAGCTCTCCAAACAGTACAGCTTTTGCAGGCGTCTGTCTTTAGCACTTTCCAGAGGTTTGTTTGAAACCTGTGTCCTAGTTTAGAAGCCATATGGTTTAAAGAAAAACATGCTTGCTCCACTTGGTTGGGAAAGTTTCAAGCTCTGCTCTCACTTCATTATGAATTATGCATTCTTGAGAACTCAATCCAAAACGTGGATCGTTGAACATCTTTATTCCAAATGAAATAATCCCTCAAATTTTAGGTCCAACCACTTCAATGCTTTCCCTCAGAACTTGCTGTCACAGATTACGAGTTTCGATTTTACCACTGGGTTACCTTCTGCCTGTGTGTAAGTCTTAAGATATATCAGAGCAGCCGTGCTAGAGAGGGGAATCTGGACATAGGAAAAGTGTTTTATATTATTACTTTTTATTGCTGAATCATGTATTAATCCTTTTTTTAAGTAGTCTTGAACTTCACATCAGTGGACTGCACAATGAATGACATCTGATTTTTAAAAATACTGTCTTTTTCCCTTAAGAGAATTTAAGTTAGCTTTCAATAATGTGTAAAGTGATTTCATTGTATGCCAGATTCCATTTTGAATATATATTCTTCTTGGTGCTATACTTGGTTCTGTTTAGACTGCTGCCCAACTGTTCTTATGGGGAAAAAATACAATTAAATCTCCAAATAGGCTACAACAGAAATTCAGAATCTGAAAAATATAACAAATTGTGTTTTGAGATACGTCTGCACTGTACCAATATACAAACAGCTTAAAAATAATTGAAACTATCAATATAATTCAATTTTGCCATCCGTTTACAGCACTTATTCCAAATTATATAGGCCACAGACCATGTATTTTGCTCCTGGAAGCTGTTTTAAAACAACTCTGAAAGGCACCAGATCTTGCTTGATCTTGGAAGCTAAGCAAAATCAGCTCTGGTTAGACAAGCAAATATGAGATGTTGTACATCTCTACATTTCAGAGAGCCGGTGTGGTGTAGTAGTTTCATGGACTGGCCATGTTGTCTGAATGCCTGATCACCATCTCCCAAAGCAGTTACTATACTTTCAACTCAAGAACAGAAAATGGAATGTGTTGTCGAAGGCTTTCATGGCTGGAATCACTGGGTTGCTGTGAGTTTTCCGGGCTGTATGGCCATGTTCCAGTCGCCTAAAGGCAGAGAAGAGCAGTATACAAATAAAGTAAATAAATAAATAAATTCTCTCCTGACCTTTCGCCTTCATCTGTGGCAGGCATCCTCAGAGGTTGTGAGGTATATTGGAAACCAGACAAGGGAGCTTTATGTATCTGTTGAAGGTCCAGGGTGGGAGAAAGAACTCTTCTTTGTTGGAGGCAAGTGTGAATCTTGCAATTAATCACCTTGATTAGAATTGCAAAGCCTTGCAGCTTCAAGGCCTGGCTGATTCCTGCCTGGGGGAATCCTTTGTTGGGAGGTATTAGCTGGCTCTGATTGTTCATGTCTCGAATTCCCCTGTTTTCAGAGTGGTGTTTTTTATTTACTATCCTGATTTTTGAGTTTTTAAAATACTGGTAGCGATTTTGTTCATTTTCATTGTTTCCTCCTTTTGTTGAAATTGCAAAGCAATTAAAATGGTGGCATTTTAATAACATTTTGTTCCATCATTCTAAGAAAAATATTCCACAATGCTGTTGTGATCTGTTGTTGAGTCAGTCTTGATTTCTGATGATCCTATGAATGACAGACATCCAGTCCTCAACAGCCCTGTTCAGGTCTTTCTGACTGAGGGCAATGGAGTCCATCCACGTTTCATATGGTCTTTCTCTTTTCCTATTGCCGTATACTTTGCCAAGTGTTATTATCTGTTCTAGTGAGTCATAGAATCATAGAGTTGGAAGAGACCTCATGGACCATCCAGTCCAACCCCCTGTCAAGAAGCAGAAAAATTGCATTAAAAGCACCCCCGACAGATGGCCATCCAGCCTCTGTTTAAAAGCTCACATCTTTTTATGATAGATCCAAAGTATGTGAGTCTCTGTTTAGTAACTTTGGCTTTTAAAAAGAGCTCAGGCCTAATTTGTTCTTAGGCCCATTTATTTATATTTGTGTGTGTGTGTTTTACTTTGGCAGTCCAGGGTACCAAGAAAACTTGTTTTCCCTTCCCTTACCCTATTCAAGGTGGCTCATGAAACCTAATAGGACAGGGAAATGCACATTTAGCCTAGCTTAAGAGTGGAGATGGAATGGAGTGGAGAAAGAATGCTATGAGGGGGGAAAGAGCTCATATGTGCAAAAATTAAAACTTGCTGAAAGATGTAAATGGAAGAACCTTGCATCATATGGAAGCTGTTGATTTTTGTTTGTCAAGGATGACCAGAGATAGTAGAGACTTTTCCCTTTTCAATATCATGCAAATCAATAAAACAATGCTGAAAGACTGACTTTCTTTGTGTTTTTTTTTTTTTTTTTTTTTTTTTTTTTTTTTTTTTTTTTTTTTTTTTTGCTCATGTTCTCTGATTTTAACATGAACTATGCAACTCTTTGGCATGGAAACACTTGTATGGTTAGATATTACACCTTCTTTTTTCAAGAGAGAGAAGGGTGACTGTTAAGATTTCTGAAAAAGAAAAACCACCTGTTTATGTTGCATAAACAGTATGTGGAAAATAGTGACAAAGAAAGGCAGGTAGGTGGCCTTAAGGCACAGATTATATGGTTCTTGAATAGTGGGAAAGGTGCCATCCCAGTCCCAAGAGTCTCCAAAATCTCAAGGCAAAGAAATTATTTGAAAGTAAGTACAGAAGAGGTCAAGATACCCAAATTCTGCAGAAGATGCTGAATTTGCAAGAGATGAGATGGTGCTTCAATTCCTGGCATTTCAGAGAGTTCTGAAATCAAGTCCATTCATATCATTTGCTCTTTTCTATGAGTGCAGTCACAAAAGTGCATTTGTCATGTCAGGAACATTTCTCAAGTTGGTTCTGGTGTGAGGGAATTGGCCGTCTGCAGGAACGTTGCTCAGGGGACGCCCAGATGTTTTACCATCCTGTGGGAAGCTTCTCTTATGTCCCTGCATTACTGTTTCATCAACGTGATGAAGAAAAGCTGACAGATGGGAGCTCACCCCACTCCCCGACTTTGAACTGCCTGTTGTGGTGACCCCCCAACCAAAAAAGGGTTTAACCTATTGTGCCTTCGGGGGCTCCTTACAAAATTGCTGCAAGTACCATTATATCAGTTCTAGGGTTTCTTAGGTTTCTTTTGTGTTATCCTGTAGCTTTTTATGGTCAAGGCCTATGTTTTCGTTTTCAAAAAGTAACTTACACTCTTAACTATAGGACACAACCACCACATGTGTAAAAAGGTACCCATTTCATTACTGCTTCATCAACGTGATGAAAAAGAGCAGTAAAAGCTACAGCATTAGTCGAGAAAATGTTCAGATGACCTTGGAAGGTTTGGCACATGAATGGCCTTTGGAAAACCTCCAAGGAGATGTGCAGATGACTCTCTGCTAAGGAGAACAGAAGCAATGGTTTGTGGACCTGACATAATTAGTTAAGAGGTGTACAGTCTCCCTAGGGCAAAACTCTATAATGTGTAAAGGGCTGACAAGGGGCTTCAGACCTGCTGAATGTTACTCTTCCTTTTGGTCCACCTGATACTAATGACACTGCAAGGCATAGTCATCAGGATCTCACAAGGGATTAAAGGGATCTGTGTACAAAGCTGAAAGACCCTGATATGTAAGTTGTCATTTCATTTCTCCTTCAAGTTGTAGGACGAAGCCCAGGAAGGAAGCCAAAAATAGTGGAGGTGAACAACTGACTCCACAAATGGTGCTGCCCGGAACGATTTGGTTACTAGGGTCACAGACTGCAGTTTCATGGACTTGTAGCAAAGGATAGGTTGCAACACTCAGCAGTTGGCAGGAAAGTGTTTGCTAAGTATCTCACAAATATGATCAGGACGGCTTGAAACTTGGGTTATGTTGTGCGAGGAGATACTCCTATGGGCAGGGGTTCAAGTACTGGAGATAATAACCTGACTATTCTAGAGAAAACTGTCCAAGAAAACTGTCCAAGAACCTAACTGTATTGTTAGTCCATGAAGTCACAGAGTCGGAAGTGACTGAACAAAAAACAACAACCAAGGAGCAATGGCCATGTACTTAGATGTATAGATACCTGGAACCGTTTCGGGTTTTATAGGCTAAAGCCAGCACTTTGAATTGTGCTCGGTAGCAGACTGGCAGCCAGTGGAGCTGACATAATTTGAGTTGTATGCTTCCTGTACGCATACAACGCATATGCTCCCTGTACGCCACTCCAGTGAGCAATCTGGTTGCCATCAGCTGGACCATTTGGAGCTTCTGAACAGTCTTCAAAGGCAACCCCATGTAAAGTGTGTTGCAGTAGTCTATTCGGAATGTAACCACCATGGCCAAGTCTGACTTCCCAAAGCGAATTTCCCTTCCAAAGGGTAGATTTCTTTCACTTCCTGTTGTCTTGTCTCTCTCTCCCCACACCATCTCAAGCACTGTTGGCGGGGATGAGGGAGAGAGCTTTCTCGGTGGTGGCCCCCTGGCTCTGGAACTCCCTCCGTAGGGAGATCAGACAGGCTCCCACCTTGTCCTCCTTTTGGAGTCAACTAAAAACCTGGATGTCCCTATTGAGCTCTGCACTTGACTCGACCCTCAAATGGTCTACCTCAACATGTTTGACGACAGTATTTCCCGCCCAATCCATTAGCCTGTTGCACTTTTTTTGCACTTGTATCTCATTTATGCTGTCTTTCCCAGCCATACTGTTTTTATGTGATTTATAATTGTGTTGCTTGCCTTTATATGATTTTTTAAATTGTGTTTTATTTCTGTGTTTTAATTGTAATTTTGGGTTTGTCCTTGTAAACTGCCCAGAGTCCCCTAGGGGAGATGGTCGGTGGGGTATAAAAATAAAGTTATTATTATTATTATTATTATTATTATTATTCATTTGTAAATCAGATGTTTGTAACTTGGGGACTGCCTGTATCTGCATTAAGGCATGAGAAATAAAGAAGATGCAATTGAATTTTTAGCTAGCAAAGGAAATGCCATATTACTCGAATGTATTGCTTACCTTTTTTGGCTAAATTACACCGCTAAAAGTGAGGTGCTCATTAGCTTCGATAGCACATTAGAATCATACTCGTAAACCCACCTGTGCCCATTAGGCTGAGGTTGCCGAACTCATCAGCCTCAATGGAGAGCACAGCTTCCCAAGTAAGGTCTTCAAAACCTCCCCCTCGGTTTGTAAGTCCTTGTGAACAAGGACTTATTTGGGAAGCTTCTGTCCCTTCATCAGGTTAGACAGAGGGGCATGGCTTCCCCTTGCATGTTGACTATCCCAACACAAGCAGCAGAATGGCTGGCAGGTAAGGGGAAGCTGTGCGTTACATTCGACAACACTTTTTTTTTTTTGCAATCTTGAAGATGCACATTACAATTGATGGTGCGTTACACTTGAGTAAATATTGTAGGATGCAATAGATATGCTGAAACCTATGATTTCAGCATACCCATTTCAGTTATTTCCCCATTAAATTATATTTCCTTATGCTAGTTTAGATCCAGATCAATGTTATGAGGCCTTTCTGCTTATCTTTCCATTGTGTAAAATAGTCCCTTTATTTGGATTGCTTATTTACTCCCTGTTAGCCTTATAGTTCAGAAAAATGCATCCAGATATTTGGATTTTGGTACTAGAGAGGTGCAGACATCCTCAATACGATTACATGGCTTATATTCAAAGGTTTAGTATTTGGCAGTATTTGGCCTTTCAAGGTGCATAGCTGCAAAGATAAACCTAAAATCTGTGGCTACTTGTTCTTGTTTAGTGTCTGACTTTTGGAGCCCTTTCGTGCTATCTAATTGTAGGGGCAACGAAACCAAAATATTTCCCAAAAGGCAGAAGCCCCCTTTCCAATAGGGAGGGCAAGGATGGACACCACGAAAGTTGAATCCTTTAAACTGCAAAAAGCTATGTATTATTGCGTGGCCATAGCAATAACGACAAACAAGCATATAGGGATGCAATCAAAGGGTTTGTCGCAACCCCCAATGGGGCTGCAGAGCATTTATAGTAAATGGAATATATATTTTCATTGGTTCTCAAAGACAAATCATTTCATTGGTCTAAGCTAGCTATGCAGTTGTTCATTAGTTGTTTATGATTTTGATTGACATAGCACACGTGGGATCCTAACAATGGCACAACTATAACAACTATAGCCCATTGTTCTCTGACAATGACTGTATCTTATCTGTTAGTCTGTTGCAAATATGGCTTCAGAGCGACTGGGAAACTTGGGGGTTCTAACTAGCCAACAGCTAAGTGGTTTTGTCCAGATATGTTGTTATCCTTGAATAGTAATTTCTACTTTGGAGCACTGATTTCTCAAACAATCAGCATTTTCTGTGAACATAGGCCTACTGCAGAAATAGGCCAATATGGCAGTAAATCATGACATATGGGCATTGGGAATATATCTGAAAATTCCCTTTTTAAAACCATGTTCCCTCCATAATTATAGTGCAATGATTGCACTTGGTGTTTATAGTTTGGAGAAGCACATTGCACAGAATTCTAAATGCTTGGAACCATGTTTGTTAAAGCAGAATCATATTGCTAACATTCTGTAGCGTGAAAGGTGACTTGATGTGTATTGACTTAATATGCTTTCTGCCTGCAAACCTGTTTTAGAGACTGTAAAATCAACTCAGATCCCTAATAATTAAAAAGCAGACCATGAATCATTGCAGATGGTACAATCCATCCTACCCTCTATGACTCAAAAAGAAAGCAAAGTCTATTTGCACATGTAAATAGATGACAGTATTTGCCCAGAAGGAAACATATTGACCAACTTTGATAACCGGAAGGTGTGGTAGCTCTCACTTCACCAGCTGGATCCACTTTTTGCTTTTAGATAGCACCAGATGGATCCGTTTTAGCTAGATCTCCCCCCTCCCTCCTTAATGTCTTCTTTCTCCTCCTCCACCCTCATCTTTTCCTCTCTCATCATCATAACCCAGCTATAACTGTCCGAGATTGACATTATTGGAGAAGGCACTAGCTGTATTCAGATGTGCTTGCAAAAATAGCTGGTGCATTAAAAGGTTTCTCAGAACAAACATTATGCATAACTTTTCTTCTAGGTAAGCCTGTAAATTCTAAGAAAATGCTGCTGTAATTAAGAGGGTGGGGCTAACCAGAGCTGGATATGTAATTAAGGATTATGTGCTCCCTTCAGACCAGACAAATGCATGGCCTAAGAATTAATTGTAAACAAATATATTTTACACTAGGCTCTGTTTGGTGGATCTTGGGGCTGTAATAGTGTAGATTCTTGAAGTCTTATTGCCTTCTTTAGATTTCAGTAATGGACTTTGTCAAAACTCTTCAAGAGCAGAGGTCTTAATCTTGACAGAAATCATTGTTATTTCTTTTCCAAAGTACTTTAGAGTCCATTTCACTCTATTAATTGTTTAATGTATTGTCAAAGGCTTTCATGGCCAGAATCACTGGGCTGTTGCAAGTTTTTCGGGCTGTATGGCCATGTTCTAGAAGCATTCTCTCCTGACTTTTCGCCTGCATCTATGACCTCACAACCTCTGAGGATCCCTGCCATAGATGCAGTGAAATGTCAGGAGAGAATGCTTCTAGAACATGGCCATACAGCCCGAAAAACCTACAACAACCTATTAATTGTTTATTCGATATGTGTATCTTTTTATCGTATTGAATTCTAAAGAAACAAATAACATAAATTTTAGCACTCCTACTCACCTGAAAGTTCCTCAGCTATGTCATCTAGCACAGTGAGTACTAAACATTTGCGACTGACTTGTATAGTTGTAATTATTAGCAAACGTTCTCCCTAGGAAACTCCAGACCACTGGATCTCAACTTGTGGGTCCCCACAAAGGGGTAACGATGCAAAAATACTCCTTTCAAATCCAAATCCGAAACACAGGAGCCCACTTCCCAGTACGAAGATGAGGAAGGACACCAGATAAGTTGGATCTGCAACATACTTTTGCATGACCATAACAAGACGGCAAAAACGCACATATACAACACAATCAAAAGGCTTTTGCTATACCTAAACTTTAGATTTCATTGATATTTATGAAAGTAGAAGGCACAGTTTGTTTGGTGTTTAAAAATCAATCATCTCATTGGTCTTAATTAGCAAATATGGATTCTTGTTGGCTCTTACATCTTTTTAACAGCAGGAGCGTATAACAATGCTTCCCTTCATGTGTCTCTGACCCTGGGCTGGAAATCACAGGCCAGTTTTTATCTAGTTGCATGTTGCTTCTCTACATGTCTGTGGGAAATTAGGGAGTGAGAGGAGCTGCCAAGAGGAGCTGTGGGAATTGCTGAACAGCATAAGGCAACAGCAAGAATATCCCAAAGGCCCGTTTCAAGGTTTTTTGTTTGTTTGTTTGTTTGGTTGTGTCAGGAACAACTTGAGAAACTGAAAGTCACTTCTGGTATGAGAGAATTGGCCGTCTGCAAAGACGTTGCCCAGGAGACGCCCGGATATTTTGATGTTTTACCATCCTTGTGGGAGGCTTCTCTCATGTCCCCGCATGAGGAGCTAGAGCTGATAGAGGGAGCTCATCCATGCTCTCCCCAGATTCAAACCTACAACCTGTCTTCGGTCCTTCCGGCACAGGGGTTTAACCCACTGTACCACCAGGGGTTCCTACAGCTAGGAGGTAAAAGAGACTTTTAAAAACCTGCAAGGATCAGAAAGACAAAAAGAATAAACTCCTTAAATTCAGGAGGCAGAACCTACCACTTATTGAGCCAGCTGCAATAAAAACCAGCAGCTAGTTTAACAAAGAAAAGGGATATAAAAATCATTTTGCTTTCCCTGACCGTAGCAGAACCTTATCGTTCAATGCCCACCAGAATCCACACAAAGGAGAAACCCTACAAATGTTCAGAGTGTGGGAAAACTTTAGCAAGAGTTTGCACTTCATTGCTTATCAGAGGATCAACACAATAGAAAGGCCCTACAATTGTTTGACCTGTGGGGAAAGCTTAAATCACCCACCTGACAATCCACACAAGGGAGAAACTCTATAAGTGCTTGGAGTGCAAACATTTCCATTATAGCTGTGATCTGGCACCAGACCAAGCACACAGGAGAAAAAAAACCTACCAATGCTCTGACTGTGGGAAGTGCTTCTTTCAGAGCTCCAACCTCCTTCTGCACAAGTGGATACACAATGGAGAGAAACCCCATGTCTCGAATGTGGGAGAAACTTCAGGTGTCACTGAGTATTATTATTATTAACTTTATTTATACCCCGCTAAAATCTCCCGAAGGACTCGATGCGGCTTACAAAGGCCAAGGCCACCAACAAAACAACAGCATACAAATACAACAGTAAAAACTCAGGCTTATACTCGCGTATATACAATATAGTGTTTTAATGTTTTTAATTATAATTATTGTTTGTATTTTATTATGTGGCATTGAATTTTTGCCAAATGGAAGACGCCCTGAGTCCTCCCTCCCCGGGGGGTTGAGAAGGGTGTGGTACAAATGTTTGAAATAAATAAAATAAAATGTGAGCAGCCATTTTGTAAAACCAGGATGTTAGGCAGCCATTTTGTGGCTCTCATCGTGCAGCAAAGCCGAAGGAGGAACTATTTGCATGGGAGCGGCCTGATTGGCCAGATGCAAATAAGCAGGTGCTAAAGCATGAGAGATGGGCGGAGTCAAGAATGGCAGTTAGAGGAGGCCACCTGAACATTCAGAGAGGATAGTTAGTAGTAGAGAGATTTTAAAGGGCAGAATGGTCAGGATCTCTACATCCGGTTAAAGATTGTAGGTTTTCTTTCTTTAGAAATCAGTTTTTAGGAGTTATTATAAAAGCCTTTTAGGAAGGAAAGGCAGAAGAAATGCTTGAACGGAAGTCACACAGAAACTTTGTTTTGTAACTTCTTCGTAAGTGAATAATAACACCACTGTAACCACCAAGCATCTGTACTGTATATACTCTTGAAACCACCACGCTTATGTAACTCAAAGGATACAAATAAACAAACAGTTACTGTTTCGCCTTAAGCAGAATGTTACTCTCATCTCTAAGCCTCAACTTAAATAAGCAACAGAAAAGGCAGCAGCAGAATTAAACATCCTTTATATTTAGCAGTGGGATATCAAAAATATTGGTTGATATCTGCACAGGCTGGCAGCCTACCTTTCACACCCAGCAACTATAACTCCGAGTGTCAAGGCCTATTTTTCCCATACTCTACCACTGTTCATATTTCGGCATATTGAGTATTTCTGCCAAGTTTGGTCAAGATCCATCATTGTTTGAGTCCACAGTGCTCTCTGGCATAAGGTGAACTACAACTCCAAATCCTTCCAGTATTTTTGTTGGTCATGGGAGTTCTGTGTGCCCAGTTTGGTTCAATTTCATCGTTGGAGGAGTTCAGAATGCTCTATGATTGTAGGTTAACTATAAATCCTAGCAACTACAACTTCCAAATGACAAAATCAACCCCCCCCCCCCAACATTCAAATTTGGGCATATCTGATATTTGTTGTTCTTCTTCTTCTCTAGGACCTCTTCCTCCTCCATCTCCTCTTCTTCTTCCTGTTTCTCCTCTTTATTCATCTTTTTTCTTGTTTATTTATTTATTTACTTCACTTGTATACCGCCATTCTCAGCCCTAAGGCGACTCATAGCGGTTTACAACAATCAAGCAAAAACAAGGCGAACAAGCAAGGCAAAAATTCAATGCGGTATCCTCCCCCTTCCCATTCCTGCTCTTCCTTTTTTTTTCCTGTTTCTCCTCTTCTTCCTTGTTTTCTTCCTCCTCCTCCTTCCTATTCCTGCTCTTCCTCTCCCTGTTTCTCTTCTTCCTTGTCTTCTCCTTCCTCCTACTTCCTATTCCTGCTCTTCCTCTTCTTTCTCTTTCTCCTTATTCCTCTTACTTGTTTCCTTCTTCCTCCTCCTTCCCATTCCTGCTATTCCTCTTCTTCTTCCTTGTTTCCCTCTTCCTCCTGCTTCCTATTCCTGCTCTTCCTCTTCTTCCTCCTCTTACTTCCTATTCCTGCTCTTCCTCCTCTTCTTCCTCCTCCTTATTCATCTTCTTCCTTGCTTTCTTCTTCCTCCCCCTTCCTATTCCTGCTCTTCCTCCTCTTCTTCCTGTTTCTCATCTTCTTCATTGTTTCATTCTTCCTCCTCCTCCCCATTCCTGCTCTTCTTCTTCCTGTTTCTCCTCTTCCTTGTTTCCGTCTTCCTCCTTCCCATTCCTACTCTTCTTCTTCCTGTTTCTCCTCTTCCTTGTTTCCGTCTTCCTCCTTCCCATTCCTACTCTTCCTCCTCCTCTTCTTCTTCCTGTTTCTCCTCCTTATTCATCTTCTTCTTTGTTTCCTTCTTCCTCCTTCTTCCCATTCCTGCTCTTCCTTTTCTTCCTCTTCCTGTTTCTCCTCTGCCTTCTTCCCTCCCATTCCTGCTCTTCCTCCTCTTCTTCTTCCCCCTCCCTTTCTTCTCCTTTCTCCTCCTTCCCGTTCTTCTTCTTCTTCTTCCTTCTCCACCTCCTCCTCCCTCCTCTTCCTTTTCTCCTATCAGCCCCTTCGGCAGAGCAAAAGGGAAGCTTCTCTTCCGGACTTCCTGTCCTCAGCGGCCTCCTCCCAACAGAGGGCGCCATGGACTGGATCGGCTTCCGGAAAGAGAACAAAGGGTTGGAGAAGGCGGGACTTCCTGTGGCCGCCATAGTGAGAGAGAGAGAGAGAGAGAGAGAGAGAGAGAGAGAGAGAGAGAGAGAAAACCGGGCAGTCGGCCAGTGGGCGGGGCCAGGCGCGAGGCCAGCTCCTTCCGGGCCCGACCGGAGTGAGAACTACTGCTGAGTCAAGGCAGCTTGAAACCCTGCGGGTAAGGGAAGCCAGTCTCTCTGGAGGGAAGGTTAGGCCCAGGGTTTGGGAGGCTGGCAAGGATGGGCATGTGGGCGGAGCCTACAATTAGCTAAAGGCCTTATTTATAGTCTAGTTTATTGTGGGCTTTTGAAAACTGGCATAAACAGGATTAATCTCCAAACCTGGGCCCTGCAGGTGTTTTGGACTCCAACTCCCACCACCCTGTTTTGGACTCCAACTCCCACCATTCCTAACAGCCTCAGGCCTTTCCTTTTCCCCCTCAGCCGCTTAAGCGGCTGAGGGGGAAAAGGAAGGGGCCTGAGGCTGTTAGGAATGGTGGGAGTTGGAGTCCAAAACACCTGGAGGGTCCAAGTTTGCCCAGACCTGATATATATTGTAGAATTAATGCAGTTTGGTGTTGCTTGAACTGCCATGGTTCAATGCTGTGACATCCTCGGATTTGTAGTTTTGCAAGGCCTTTTGCCTTCTCTCCCCAAAGAGTTCAGATGCCACACCAAATTACAAACCCCACAATTCCATAGCATTGAGCCATGACAGTTAAAGTGGTGCCAAACTGCATTAATTCTACAGCATAGGTGCACTTCTAGAACTTGTAGTTCGGTGAAGCCACAGAGTGGACAAAGCTACAGTAGATTGGACTACTGTAATGCGCTCTACATGGGGCTGCCCTTGAAAACGGTTCGGAAATTTCAACTGGTCCAACGGGCGGCGGCCAGGATGTTAACTGGCGCTCCTTACAGAGAGAGGTCACCCCCCCCCCCCCCCCCCCCGTTCAAGGAGCTCCACTGGCTGCCGTTTATTTTCCGAGCCCAATTTAAGGTGCAGGTGCTTACCTACAAAGCCCTAAACTGTTTGGGACCTGCCTACCTGCATGACCGCATCTCCGTTTATGAACTCACGCGTTCTCTTACGCTCATCCGGAGATGCCCTGCTCGCGATTCCACCTGCGTCGCAGGCGCGTTTGGTGGGGACGCGGGACAGGGCCTTTTCTGTGATAGCCCCCCCGACTTTGGAACACCCTCCCCAAAGACATCAGACAAGCCCCTTCGTAGGCAGTCTTTAGGAAGAACTTGAAGACCTGGCTGTTCCGATGTGCCTTTCCAGAATAGGAAAACTCCACCAATTTGTCCCAGAAGCACTTTATCAGAGTTTTAAGATTGCCTGCACATTCCATTTAGCCTAAAATCCGACATACCACCTGTCACACTCAGCACTTTTTAATCTGTACCCATTACATTTGGCCCGGCCCTAGTTTTATTGTGTTATGATGTATTGTTTTTATTGTCTCTGTTATTTCTTTATTGTTTTGATTTGCTTTAAGTTGTGTATTTCTTATGCTATTGTTTTATTGAGGCCTTGGCCTATGTAAGCCACATCGAGTCCTTCGGGAGATGTTAGCGGGGTACAAATAAAGATAATAATAATAATAATAATAATAATAATAATAATAATAAGTATATTTCCCTAAACTGCAAATTTAGACAAGCAGAGAAAGATCTTCCTACATATTGCTTTCAGCAATGCATTGCCTGCAAAGGTTAGAGCACACACCCATTGAGCATCCCTTCTCAGGAAATCTGCATGGGTGGCTGAGATAATGAAACCTTTACTTTCTGGTGATCTAATGTCCACAAATTTTGTTTTGTGCACATCGTGATTGGATACTGTGCATAAGATTACCTTACAGCTATGTATATAAGCTGCGTGTGAAACAAATGAAAGCAATGTTTAGACATGTGCCTCATCTCCAAGATAGCTCATGATATATGTACATGCAAATATAGGTATTCTAAAATCCAAAACAAATATAGAACCAGAAATCCAAAACACTTCTGATCCCAAGCATTTGGATAAGGCATTTTCATCCTGTATCTCTCCCTAAAGTTATCTCATTCAATATATGTAAGTATTCCAAAATTTAAAAAATTAAAATAATAATCTGAAAATACAGAACACATCTGAATATTGCCTTATTAATTTTTATTCTTATTTTAAAATTAGCGTGCTTGTAGTTTATCTGTTTTTAAATTACTGGCTGCTTGTGCTCCCTCTGTTTTATCAGTTTTATACTTATTTATGCAATAATTTTGACATGAAAGAAAGAAATAAAGCTGTTTTTAATTCAGTCTGGTTTTTAAACATGTAATTGTTATAATCTGTTTTAAGAAGTTTTAAAAATCTCTTTTGAGAAGTTTTCTGGGTTTTAGTTCTTGCAGAAGGAGGAGAATATTGATTAACCCAAATATTAATTAATCAGTTACTTTTGTTTGCACAGGTGATCGGATGGCGAATAAGACCTGGGACCAGATATGTGTAAAAGAGGAGCCAGAGCATGTGGAAATGAATATGGAGTTGACAGGAGGATTGGAAGAAAGAGTTTCCCAAAGCCTCAAACATGGAAGAGACTTTAATAATCAGGAATCTTCAAAGAAGCAAAATGAAACTGCTTCTGATGGAAGGCTAGAGAGAGCCACTGAATGCAAAGGGTCCAGTTTAAACAGTGTTGGCCAAATTGTTATCCAGCAGTTGATTCACATTGGAGGAAGTAAGATCTCCCGTATCAAGGAGGAGGATGCCTTCTGTCAGAGCACTGGCCTTGGTAAACCTCAGATCATCCATTTCGGAGAGAAACCATACTTGTGCATCATCTGTAATAAAACCTTCCGTAACCACTCGGGACTTATGGTGCATCAACGAATCCACACAGGAGAGAAGCCATATAAATGCCCTGATTGCGAGAAGAGCTTCAACCAGCGATCACACCTGACCTCTCACCGTGGAACTCACACCGGGGAAAAGCCCTTTAAGTGCTTTGACTGTGGGAAAAGTTTCAGTTACAACTCGGGGCTCATCATCCACCAGCGGATTCACACAGGGGAGAAGCCATACAGATGCAGCGACTGTGAAAAAAGCTTCAGTCAGAAGTCCCACCTGCTTTCCCACCAGAGGACGCACGTGGGAGAGAAGTCCTTTAAATGCCTTGACTGCGGGAAGAGTTTCAGCTACAACTCTGGTCTTGTTATACACCAGCGGATCCACACAGGAGAGAAGCCCTATAAATGCTCTGACTGTGGGAAGAGCTTCAATCAGCGGTCGCACCTCATCTCCCACCAAGGTATTCACACAGGAAGGAAGCCCTATACGTGCAAAGACTGTGGCAAGAGCTTCAGCTTCAACTCTGGGCTTGTGATCCATCAACGGCTTCATACAGGGGAGAAACCTTATAAATGCTCCAACTGTGGGAAAAGCTTCAATCAGAAGTCACACCTCATTTCACACCAGAGGGTTCACAGTGGGCTAAAACCCTAGAATCATGGAGTTGGAAGAATCCACAGGGCCACCCAGTCCAGCCCCCTCTGCCATGCAGGAATACACCATCAGAGCACTCCTGACAGCTGGTTATCCAGCCTCTGATTAAAAGCCTGACTCAGTAAAAATCATTTTATACAGGGAACTAATTTTAATTGACAGAAGCATCATCCCATTGTTCCTTTAATAATAACATGCAGATAACAGCACATTTCTATGCTGGTTTTTCTCAACAAGTGCTTTCTTAAGGCAGTACACGTTTTTAGAACAATGTTTCCCAAACTCTGGTCCTCCAGTTGTTTTCGAATTTCAGCTTCTAGAATCTCTGATCATTAGGCAAGGCAGCTGACGTTTCTGAAAGGTGAAGTCCAAAATGCCTGGAGAACCAGAGATTGGAAATCACTGTTTTAGAATTTTTAAAAGACGTTTTCAGTTTTGGTGAACTGTAACAGAGTATGGCTGTTCACTGCCACTCCAAAAAATCCAGGCAGAAAAGGTGAATTCAAGCATACAGCAAGTCTGAACATGCTTATTGCAAAAATACCAATACAGAAGTAACAATATTTTTGATTTTTATGAGGAATAAACACCTTTGCACTGAATGTATTTATTTTTAATTACTTTTTATTAAGTTATTAGCAGCCTGTTTAAAACAACATCTCAAAATGGCACTCAAAAAGAAAAAAAATGAAACAATTAAAAAAAAATAAATCAAATAAGAAATTGAAATGTAGATGAACTTTAAAAAGAGTTGGGCCTCTTAATTTTTTTCCACTTCTTTTGCACTCAATAATTTTTACATGATCCTAGGTGTATAGGTATATAAAACAGGTTTAATATCACACATTTACTTGTAATCAGTATTTTCAAGGCTTTCTAAGGAAGCTGATTTTCCTTTTGTGGAGTACAGCTGAAGCATCTTCTGTAGAGCCTGCTGTAAACAGTGCACATCGTTACTAACAGATTTATCTGAATGGATGATGTTCAGAAACCTTTTACCATTGCCAATTTTTGTGATTCCCAACATTGAGGTCAGGACCTACAAGTTTAAGATGTAGTGCTTTCTTGAGTACTAGGAAAGTACACAAGAAACCTATTAAACTATTACACTAATCCTTACAACTGGGGTGCAAAGTTTGGTCCCCAGAGGGCTTCTTCTCAGTTGCAGTCAAGGGAGTTCTTGGATTGTTTTGTATCCAGTGGAAGCCATTTTCCCATAGGAATTGAACCAGAAATTGACTTCACTTATTGTTAGAAAAAGACCTCTCCTTGGCCTAAAATATCCAGGAAGGCAAATCCATGGTGAAATTTCTCTACAATCCCAGGGATAAAGGGCACTTTTGGGACAAAATTAAGTTAATTACTATTACAGTGTATTGTATTGGAGAGATAGTCCTCTGATGCCTTCTGAATGCAGTTTGTCCCCCTAACTCTTAATAGTTGCTCCCACTTTAGAATATTCTTATTTCATGCAGAGTCTATAGACATCTGTGCAAAACTTTCCCCAGGCATAGATGTAATGCAGGGTTGGACATAAAGTGACCCAGTTTTGTGATCCACTTAAAAATAGCATGATTTCAGGAAGCTTTTGCTCCTAAACCATGCGGAAAGTCCCACATGTCTGAAAAGCAAACATTACCCCAATCATCATTAACCCCCCTGTATATTATACAACCCCCATATGTTGCCCTCTCAAAATGGCATCAATTTCTCTTACCATTTTTAGAGGGATTGCAGGAGAAAACTTAAGTATGAGAGCTTTCACTTTGAGCTCAGGAGTTTGGGTTGTTCTGGGACTGATGAGAATTTATTCTAGTCCTCGTTAATTTGCCTGCGGCTGTTTAATGTGCAGAGAGGGAACGTGCTGCCAGTACCATTCAAATTGTGCATAGTCTTACAGTATTCTACATATTGCTGGTATCAGAGTACAGGTGGAAGATACTAGTCTGCTGCCTGTTCATACATTTAAATGAACACCTGGAGGCAGCTGTGCAAAGTGGCTTAGTATTTGGTTGATTAAGATGGGAATCATGCTGCCCTCCTGATGTTGGACTGCAATTTCCAGTATTTCTCACCATTGGCTGGGTTGGCTAAGTTTGAATGTAGCCCACCAGCAACATCTGGAGGGCTACATGATTCCTGCCCCTGATACAAATTCCCCAAATTAGTTTACTGTAATACAGGATGTTTCAAAATGATGGACCCAGTTTCAAAGCAGTATATTTCATGATAGCGACATGTTAACAATTTCACAAAAAATTAGACACAGGTTAACGAGTTAGCAAGTTTCACTAACCATTTTGAATCAGAAACAAATAAAATCTCTTCAAATGGAGACTTATTAGGCCTTCTGTTGTGGGGTCTCCACCTTGCAAATGACTGGAGCTGGGGATTGCTTGTGTGCCGAGAAGCATCTAGCAATAATCCTTTGAAATTTTGTCCCGTCCTTTCAAGTGGTCAGGGTTTAATTCATGGGCAGTTAGTAGTTGCAGAGATACAGTAATTTCAAATTGGGCCCATCTTTTTGAAACAGTACATTCTGTCTGGGGCCGCCCTCAAAGAACATCCAAAACCTTCAGCTGCTGAGGTTATGTTTGGGACCTGCTTTTAAAAGGACGTATAACTCCAGGTTAATTCAGCCTGCAATTGTTAGCACTTTGATAATAATTTAAAGTGCTGGTTATTACCTAAATGCTTTCAGAATCCAGGTATCTGGAGGATGGTTTGCTCTTGTTTAATTCTACCTGTCCTCTGCCATCATCTTGAGAGGCCTTTTCTATCCTGTTGCCATGATCCAGGACAGTGTCTTTTCAATTGTTGTGAAACTTCCTGCACACTGCATTTTGTGTGAGGAAAACCATTATTGTTACCTCTTTGGTTTGATATGTTTATGGAGTTTGTTTCCAAAAGGTAGTCAAATCCCCCCCAAATTGGAAAATGAGTTATAGGTGGCATTAGATTGTTGGCTAGTAGAAAATTACGTACAGATCAAAACTATCAAAATGTATCAAATCAGTCCAGCACTGTGCTTGGCAAATTACATTTGATGGCAAATAAGTACATACCCTAAGCATGTTTTTTTTAATCCCTTTAAAATTTATTCAGATGGATTTAGTATTGTATTGTCGAAGGCTTTCATGGCTGGAATCACTAGGTTCCAGCCATGAAAGCTGTGGGTTTTTTTTCGGGCTATATGGCCATGTTCTAGAAGCATTTTCTCCTGACGTTTCGCCTGCCTCTATGGCAAGCATCCTCAGATACAAACAATCTACAGATCCACCAAGAAAATCCAACAAATGCTACGTTCAGCAAAGGACAAGAGGGATCCTCTCACCTCTGCAGGAGTCTACCGTATACCATGCAGCTGTGGACAAGTCTACATAGGGACCACCAAACGCAGCACCCAAACATGAATCAAGGAACATGAAAGGCACTGCAGACTACTTCTACCAGAGAAGTCAGCCATAGCAGAGCACCTGATGAACCAACCTGGACACATCATATTATTTGAGAACACAGAAATGCTGGACCACTCTCACAACCAACCATGTCGGACTACACAGAGAAGCCATTGAAATCCACAAGCATGTGGACAATTTCAACAGAAAGGAGGAAACCATGAAAATGAACAAAATCTGGCTACCAGTATTAAAAAAACTCTAAAATTACAACAGCAAAACAGCAGAGAGGAAACAACCAGGCACATCTTAACACCTCTCAACAAAAGATTCCCCCAGGCTCAACCAGGCCTTCAAATGCTAATGAAGGTGGTCAGTTGAAACATTCACACCTAGCTCCAGCAGAGAAGAGCTCTTTGCCCCACCCGTCATTCCACAGATATATAAACCCATTGTCCTATTTCCAACAGACCTCACTACCTCTAAGGATGCTTGCCATAGATGCAGGCGAAACGTCAGGAGAAAATGCCTCTAGAACATGGCCCTATAGCCTGAAAAAACCCACAAGAACCTAGGATTTAGTATTGTTTGGAAACAAAGTCAACATTTCTTCCCTTTATGTTACAATCGTATCACCTTATTCTGAATGTTTGTTTTTTTTAAAAAACTGGTTTCTGGTTTTTCAGTCCAAAGCGTATTTGGTTGGATACGGTTTAATCATGCCTAGAGTAAACTCACTGAAATTAGTGAGACATCAATTAGCTGGGAGGCATGGTCTAAATGTGACCAAGTCTGAACCTAACTTGTCATTTTGTGAACAATATATTGCGTTAACAAATGTTATGAGCTGCTCCAAGGGACCTATAAGGGGCTGGAAGGCAAGAAATACACACTTTAATCAAATTATGATTTCTTAAAACAGCTTTACTGAGAACAACGTAACTGAAAACAACACTAGTATACTGAATATTGCTGTGTATGTTACTATATATTACAGTACTGTAATCCCTAAATTGGATTATTATAATAAGTAGACTGTACCTTTGTGTGTTGACAATTCTTGTAATGACACGCCTGCTTGCAATAAATGGAGTTTGTGCAATGACCAATGAAGTTTTTTGTAAGGTAATACTGATATTAGTTGTAAACTTGGATTTTTCCGCACCACATCAAATGTCAGTCCATATGTAAACGAGCCTCCACAATTTTTCCCAGTGGATTCTGTTAGTCAAACTGTGCATCTGCACCAGGCCTGGGCAAACTTCAGCCCGCCAGGTGTTTTTGGACTTCCACAATTCCTAACAGCTGGTAAGCTGTTAGGAATTGTGGGAGTTGGAGTCCAAAACACCTGGAGGGCCAATGTTTTGCCCATATTTGATGTAGATGCAACCTTAGTCTTTTCTGATAGAGACAGCTCACATGTGAGATAGCAGTACCAAGTTGGTATATGGTATGTGAGTCTGCTCTGAATTGGGAATGACAGCGGGAACAGTGTATGATATTTTCTATTTATTTACCACATTCCTAATCCATCTAAAACACAGATGTGTGCTTTTCACCTTAAGAACAGACAAGTATCTTGAGCTCTGAGGATTACCTAGGAAGGAATCCCACTGGAGCATTGCATCATACCCAACTACCTGGAAGTTACCCTGGACTGTGTGACCTACAAGAAGCACTGCTTGAATATCAAGCAAAAAGTGGGTGCTAGAAACTATAATACGAAAGCTGACTGGCACAACCTGGGGATCACAACCAGAAGTGAAGACATTGGCCCTTGTGCTCTGCTACTCTTCTGCTGGGTATGCATGTCGTGTGGAAGACATCTCACCACACTAAAACAGTGGATGTGGCTCTTAATGAGACATGCTGCATTATCACAGGATGTCTACGTCCCACACCACTGGATAAAATATACTGTTTAGCCAGTATTGCACCACCTGATATCCATCGGGAAGGAAATTATAGTTGTGAAGTAGCAATGAAAATAAATTGATGGTTGGGGGTCACCACAACTTACTTACTTAGGCGATCCCTCGTTGGGCGAGTAAGATGGTCTTCCAGTGTTCTTGTGGGTCCGTAGGTGGCTGTGGAGCCCTATTCTTGCTCTGCATCTTCTTCCGCAGTGAGGGCATTGGTTTCCAGGTGGAAGGTGGTCCCGGTCGGGGTTGGCTTGACGCGCCTTCCTCCTGGCACGTTTCACTCTTTCACCCTCCACTCGTGCCTCCTCAAATTCTGCAGCACTGCTGGTCACAGCTGACCTCCAGCTGGAGCGCTCAAGGGCCAGGGCTTCCCAGTTCTCAGTGTCTATGCCAGAGTTTTTAAGGTTGGCTTTGAGCCCATCTTTTAATCTCTTTTCCTGTCCACCAATGTTCTGTTTTCCGTTCTTAAGTTCAGAGTAGAGCAACTGCTTTGGGAGACGGTGGTCAGGCATCCGGACAACGTGGCCGGTCCAGCGGAGTTGATGGGAGGACCATCGCTTCAATGCTGGTGGTCTTTGCTTCTTCCAGCACACTGACGTTTGTCCGCTTGTCTTCCCAGAGATTTGCAGGATTTTCCGGAGGCAGCGCTGATGGAAACGTTCCAGGAGCTGCATGTGACGTCTGTAGACAGTCCACGTCTCACAGGCATAGAGCAGGGTTGGGAGGACAATAGCTTTATAGACAAGCACTTTGGTCTCCCTACGGATGTCCCGGTCCTCAAACACTCTCTGCTTCATTCTGGAAAATGCTGCACTTGCAGAGCTCAGGCGGTGTTGTATTTCGGCGTCGATGTTGACTTTGGTGGAGAGGTGGCTGCCAAGGTAGTGGAAATGATCAACATTTTCTAATGTTACACCATTAAGCTGTATCTCTGGCATTGGAGAGGGATTGGCTGGTGACTGCTGGAACAGCACCTTGGTTTTCTCAATGTTCAATGACAGGCCGAGCTTCTCGTATGCTTCTGCGAAGGTGTTTAGAGTGGCTTGTAGATCTTCTTCCGAATGCGCACAGATGACATTGTCATCAGCATACTGGAGTTCTATAACAGATGTTGTTGTAACCTTGGTTTTGGCTTTCAGTCTGCTGAGGTTGAATAGCTTGCCATCTGTCCGATAGATGATTTCCACTCCGGTGGGAAGCTTCCCATCAACAAGGTGAAGTATCATAGCGATGAAGATGGAGAATAGAGTTGGGGCAATAACACATCCCTGTTTGACACCGGATTCCACTTTAAATGGGTCACTTTGGG